GTCGAGAGCAGAGAACTAAAGGTGGCTTCGGAGATGTACTGAGGAACAAAGAAGTAACCGTTCAACCGAGTATATTGAAATAATGTCTGTCGAAGTCTGCCTTTTCTATCATAGAAACAGGCGGTCTTTAAATACAAAATTCTGTTCATGTCTAGCATGAACGAAATTACGCAAAGGTATCAATCGATACACTTTGGTAAAACTAATTAAGTATCAAAGCGATACTTAAAACAAAACATAAAACAAAACTAAGTATCAAACAATACTTAAAACAAACTAAGTATCAAAGTGATACTTAAAACAAAACTAATAACCGAGTACCCGTACTGGTTACAGATATGGAAGGATATTAAGGAGCATCTTAAGAGGGAAGAGGTTTTCTTTATCATTGATAATGCTAAGACTCATTTACCTTTTAGGAGATGGCTCAGAGGACATGGAATTACACTTATGGAAATTCCAGCCTATTTACTAAATCTTAATTCAATTGAACATATTTGAGCTCTGGTGAAAGATAAGCTCCAGAAGCATTATTCTGACCTATATCTCATAAAGGGCTCCGAAAATGAGGTCAATGAAGCTATCGAGAAGGCTATTACTGCTTGTTAGGAACTTCTTGACCTAAAGATTTTTGATTCTCTAGCAGGTTCAATAGTGGATAGGATTGAAGCAATTATTAAGTCAGATGGATAGTACACTAAATATTGATTTCTACTATGTATTTACATTTTATTTTATTTTATTTTTGTTATTGTGATATTGAGGTTGGTGAGGGGATGGTTATTGTATGATCAAATTATTTTTCTGTTTGTTGTAGTCAGTTATTTTTGTTAACAAACAATAGAAACCAAACATAAAACAAAACAACATGAATGCTACATAAATCAGACACCAGTTCTGATCACAGGAGGCATTTTGTAGAGAGATGAAATCTTCACTATGTATAGTTCCTCTAGGGACAACTGTGGACTTGATGAAATATACTAGACATATTCTAAATCTCCTCCTAATTCCTTTTCAGTATGAGACTTACGAGGCTTATAGGTGAATAAAGGTGGTGGAGAATAATACATGTGGGTATCAGAAGTATACTATTAAGGATTGACTGCAAAGTGACCTTAATAGTATACCTTGGCCTCTCCAATCTGCTATCCTAAACCTAGTTGAAACTCTGTAGACAGATATAGAAATTGAACTTAGACAAGTTTATGAATAGGCAAGAAATACTGATAACTTAGCACTAATGTTACATGCTATGTAGAGCAGCATTACACCTGACTGACTTCTTACTCTAGTAGACATTATACTGGTAAGGCTGGCAGCAGTCATTGAGGCTAGTGGAAATGCTACTCCATATTAGTTTAGCCTTTGTATCTCTGCTCTCATAAGCTCCTTCAAACTGCTGCTCTCATGTAAGTTTCTCAAAACCACCATTCAAGTTCCCACATGTTTCTTAAAAGTACCATAAACAAAGTTTGTCATACTCTTTCCACTACCAAATTTAGGCCCATGGCAACAAGAAACTACTAATCACATATGCAGTTCACCTGTATCGCCATATAAATTCTAGTCTATAAATGACTTCGCCATACTTATGCTCACCCCCTAGTTCATTTCTCTCTCTTATTTATGCCATTTTGAGGTATTCCTTGTAGGTACCGTACCGGGATTCCATGACATCCAAGGCGTCCAGAAGGTTTTCAGGTTAGTCGCCGAGTGGATCCGGGCTCTTGCTCCGTGTTTCCCGGTCCTCCAATTCTTCGTTGGTGAACCTCGCAGAAATGTGTGGTTTCAATTTTTCCCTAACATGACTAAACTGGTTGCTTGCAGAAATCTCGATCTTCACATTTGAGTAGGATTATTCGCGCAGTCCTGGGGCCAAAAAAAAAAAAAAGCTCTCTATTCCATCGGTGACAGGAACATTTTGCGCTGGATCAAATGACCAGCCAAGTTAGAGATACCTTTCCAAAGCCAAAAAAAAAAGCTCCAAGTTTATTGCCGTATTTCCGATTTGGTATTTGAGAAAGAAAGAACCCGGTGTCTTCATACACGTGTTGAGGCGTTGAAAGAGAAGGTGTACCGGTACTCAAACAGTAATCATATCTCGAGGCTGACCAGGAGCTGCCAAAGATTTCGTTAAGCTGTTGTTCTGGGCCATCTCCATGCTGTTCTGGAAATTTTGTTTATAAACACGTACTGTACTGTACCCAGAGACTCTCCAACCGTAAACCGCGGAGTTCCAAGTGTTTCACCTTCAGTGGCATCTCCATCGTCTGTGGTCCAATGGTGTCCGGATTGGCAAACATGTGCTTTTTCTGGCGACAGTCACTAGGGGCCAATACGGTCACTCTCACACCAAGAAATACATCTCTAATCTTCTCTCTTCGCTTGTCGGGGTCAAATCCGCACAATCAATCGCTAAGATCGGTTGCGGTATCACCCACCACTCCTGTGCAACACAATATTATTACCCGAATACAAGTACCAGTCTGGCAACCGGCCATGTTACCGTTATATTAAGGTTGGAATACCAGCACTCGAGCTGAACTTTCCTGCCCAATTTGGCTGCTGAAAGTAAATTTTTAGGTTGGTCAGGACTGACACACTATCCCCTTGGTAGCCTGGGCCCTGGAGAGTTGAGCTGGTTGGAATCTCATTTCTCCTTCTCTTTGGGCCAAAGTTTCTGTGGTTCTCGAGGGCGCGGGCCCATTTTGGCCAAGACACCGTTTAAATGGACCAGCCCTTGAACCGTGCTGAATTTAAAAAACTTCCTTCAAACCACCCAAATGAGCGCGAGGAAAGCTTTACCCCGACTGCCGGTACTGGAAGTCAGCTGGGAGCGTCAACCGGAGACTTAGAGGCATTTTCTATTACGATATCTGCATTGCACTTGAGTACAATATAAAGTTGCTCTCAAGCTAATCGAGAAGAGGTTTCTGAAATTGTTTGGGCTATTGGGTATCATACAAAAGAGAGTAACTTTTACTAACAATCTGTGGGTATGATACTTTGCAGTTCGCTACCATGTGAAACCTTTGGATCCAAAGGTATACTGTACTCGTACACAAGAATGCATGGTATCTAAAAGGGTTTCTCCTTTATTACAGTACCGATATCGTGCTCGAAATGATTTGGGACAGTCTCACCGGGCTCGATGAGTCCTCGAACTCGAGAGGTCTTTTATCGTGGTCCCTCGAGATTGGCTTTGCCAAGCTGCAACCCTGGTCGCCCTCTCTGTGCGAGCCCTTGTATCATAACTAACCGTTTCCGCCCCAGAACGGAATATGCCTACTGTAACTTCTCGTCGAAACATAGTTTTGACCTTGGTCCCTGCGCAGAAAGGTTAGATAAGACTCCAATTCCCCGCCCCGGAAAATAAAGAGGAGGGTTCCGATACTGGTGCCACACGGTGACCCTTGTATCGGCGCATTGGCCGCTATTGTGTGTTGCAATTAAGGTACGGTACTATACTTTTCAGCCCCACACAGCCTCGCACGACATGGCGCCCTCCAAGGTTGCTCAACGGGAGAGAGAACTCAGCCTTGTCATACCAGTACGATACCATGAAACTGTCTCACTCGTACACGTTTTGATGCACCTGGGCTTGCTCCTAGTGATAACGATACGGTAACCCGTATTGTCCGGTACCCCCCCCTCTCCGATACGACGGTCGCAGGCCCGAGATGTGAACAGGAAGCTTTATCAAAAATCTAGGACTACCGGTAGATTGCCTTGTCTTGGTTACTCAATTGCCAATTTCTTGGGTTTCTAGGAGGGTGGTTGGAGCGCCGCGATTGTGATCTCCAATCGTGTTTTTCGTAATTTGGGATGGCACGATAGATCTTGAATTGGAGGACTTCCGGTGGGGATCCGCATGCTGGGGATTTAATCTGGAGAATCAACTTGTGAGTTCTAAATTTTCTGAAATCCAAACCAACCTCAGATTTGAATCTTTCAGAAATTCTATGGTGGAAGGTTGTTGTGTTGTGCAGATTGGTCAGCTAGCACCAAGGTCGACGCATCAGGACTTAGTTCTCAATGCACAGAATGGAGAACCGATATTATAGTAAATACCATATACTTATCCCAGTTGCACCTTACGGGTGTCCAACTACAGGCTACACTGCAGGATATGATACGATCCTGTGAACAATAATTTCCCGTAATACTTTTATTCAGATTCTCAAAACCCCGGAATACGGGAAGTCCTCCGACGACCATGGTCCGGGAAAAAAGGTTCCGAGATGGTCCCGAGCCAAACGTTACCAATTCCATTTCGGTTGCAGTTATCGGTTTTATTATCAATATAATCTAGTGATCGGCCCAGCCAAGCCCTGAATTAAAAACCGAAATCATGATATCGTAGTTCAAAATCACGATTTGCCTGGGGGGCGCGCTAAACACTTTTTTCTTTTTTCCGATTCGAAAGCTGCGGAATCGCGTTTCCAATATCATGAACCGCTGGGCGCCAGGCACCCCCCCAAGGCCTGGTTCTGTTGTCAAGGTTGCTTTTTTGGCTGCACCAACCTTGGTTATCTGGGCTTTGACCTCCGGGGCACTCGAGTTGTAGGCATTCGAGATTCGGGGGGGTGCTTGCGGAGAAGGTGTTCACCGTATTGCACTCGTGTTTGGAGTATAGTTGCTGGCGGTGCGGACAGATGTTGGGGTACCGTATAGTCAAGCAGCGAGATGGAAAGGCTTTCAGTGGTCAACTTGGTAGAGCGCCTGACTGCAATACAAGTAGAGCAGGGGTCGCGCGGCGCACTGCACTCGCAGCGTTTAAAAACCTACAGTTACTGTACAGTACCATGCGCTAAATCTTCGGGCATGGACAATGATATTGGTCGATGCAGGTTTCACATACAATCCGTAATTTGTGGGGAAAAAAAAGACAAACATAATTGTATTTCAAATACCGAGTATGAAATCATTAATAACCAATAGCAATGAAACAGATACGGTATTCAGGAAAGCGGATAGTCATCATGAACGGAAAGAAACTACTTTGGCGAAACACAAACCACAACGGCGTCCCCAGAAACACTCTCGTACAATCCCATACCATTGCACTGCCGAATGGCCACCTCCTCCGTCGCAACCCTCACAATATAACTTTCCCCTACGTCACCGTTAGCTCTGTAGGTGCTGAAAGGGGAAAGGGCTCACCAAAGACCCCACTGATACCCTCCCAGATATCGGCTGTAGCCTCCTCCAACTCCTCGCCAGTCCACGGCCTAAGAAGGCGGACTACCCCCTTCTGCTCATCGGGGATAGACAGGTAGCTGGAAACTTTCTCATCCGGCTCGGCCGCCCAAAGGGGCTTATCAGCGGCCCTGAGGGAGTGCGTGTCTGCAGGAATGAGCACCACCAAGCGTGGCTTCCGACGGGACATTTGATTCATTGCTGATACAACCTTTGTAGTAATCCCGGGGACGCCCGCTACCTCTCTACTCTTCTCATCCCCAGCAGCCGCAGCCGCAGCCGCAGCAGATGAGGGAGATGAATGCGCGAGTTCGTGATATGCCGGCAGCGTACCAGCCCATCCGCTGCTGCTACTACCACCGCCACCAGCAGCAGTGGTAGTGGTAGCAGTAGCGGTGGGGGACACAGTACGAGCTCCAAACCCGCCGACTTCTTCATCAATCCTCCTAGAACTGAACAGACCCCCTTCCAACCTTCCAAGTTCCTCCCTAACATCCTCATCGTATTCCTCCCTTCCCCTACTCCCCAGATTATGCTTATCCCAATTCCTCAACGATCCATTACCCAGACTCGCTTCGTGCTGGTTTCCCCCCTCCCCCACCTCTGGGAAGGGAATACCGAGCGTTCGGAAAACACCCCGAAGGGAAGCGGGATGCAGCGTTGCGGGGGGTAGTGCCCGCGTGGAGAGGTAGGTTGCCAGAATGGAGAAGGAGTCCACTGGCAGGTTCAGCTTCGCTACGTCGTCCGGCAAAGAGGTTGCGGCCAGGTCGGCAAGTTTGCTGTACGGGTAAGAGAGAATGGAGGATTCGGGGAGGTGGAAGAGGTGGTTTGAGATTAGGAAGGGGATGAGTTTTTGGTCGGACATTTTTCTTTGTCTTTTGTTTTCAGTTTTTTTTCTCTGTTTACCGGTTTGGTGGTTGATGACTACGTGGGTTGGGGTGGTGGTTGGGTGGTGATTTTCAAGTGGAAGTGGGTTGCTTCGACACAGGGAGAGGGAGAGGGATGGGGGGGAGAACGTGGCCAAGGGTGATGGTGACAGTACAGTACTGGTGGTTGTGATGGGGGTAATCCTCACGTCAATGATTTCGCATCAGGTTGTACTCGAGTACCATATGATATCAAAGCATACTCGAGTAGATGGTGTTCGTAGTGCTGCGTGATCAACAATGGTATCGGTATCTTCCACAGAACTGAGCAAGTGGGCCACGGTCGTCAGAATGAACAAGCCATGATATGGAAAGCTCCCAAGGGGATATTTGTTTGGTCAGAGGTGAAGGCACTGTGCTTGCAGAATATGCCTCGCTTCTCCTTGAGCTAGGCTGCGGTAACTCGCCTGTTTTCTCTCGCAGGAGTGCTTCTGCTATTGCTATCGCGAGGCGGACTGCCCTATAGTACTCTCGAGTCTGACGATGCGCTTCGGTTGGAGTCAAACAGCGGACAACGTATCATATCAAAGTACGGTGCAGTTGGTATCACCAGCGATTCCTAGAATTGCACCACCACAACACACGCACACACCTACCCTCCCTGCAATTCCCTTTGGTTGGGGAAAAGGAAAAAAAGCCGGTACGATACCGGTATCCAGCAAATGGTGTCCCGACACCTTCCCCGCCGTGCTCTGTTTATCGCTTCAGATTTCAGACACCTACCGATAATACAGGCGGCAGTGCACACACCACCACCACCCCTCCAACCAAATACCCGGTACCGTGGGGGGAATAGATACCGGAAGACAACAGAAGGAGTGGGGTGAAGTGCACCGTACGAGTAGTGAACTGGGGAAACCAAGACATTACTCTAGACTAACCCCATTCGTCGCCTTCGGGGGAAAGAGGGGTTCTTGATGGGCGTCGTTGTCGTCCATAGTAGCATTGCTGCTATCGATTGCGGCAAGCTAATTAACTTACTGGCACTTGAGCGCAGGCTTAGCTCTTGTGTTACGGACTTGAATGAGACGAGGCTTGATCTGCCTTGCGTCACGTGGGTGGTTGAGGCTCAAGTGGTGTATGGTTAGTATCGGCAAGTCATGCACTTGTATCATGGTCTATCTGTACTAGTACGTTGCTAGGATGTGGGCATATGGAACTGCGCGACGGTGACGGCACGGTACGAGTGCTAGGGAGGAGGGGTGAGCGATGAAGGAGAGAAAATGGGAAGGGTCCGGCAAGAGGGGAAGGAAAGTGCAGCGGTTGGTGGTGGTGGGCGGTGGTGGTGGTTGGTTGTGGTGGTGGTAGCAGAGGCTACCGGTAACATTGTACTATGCGGTATTGTTTTACGTTGTATGGCATTGGTGGAGAGCTCCGCCGGGTTAACTTATCATAGCTTAGCATTAAGGAGGACTGGGTGGGAGTATATAAAGTGGGAGGTTTTCTCTTCTTTTATTTTTCTATTTGTCTCTTGGTATTTGGGTTCTTCGTATTCTGTTTACTACCTTGCCTATTTGCTTGCTTGTGTGAGCACATCAATTCATACATACCGGTGCCTTGAGTCTCTCCCTCCATTCCCTCCATCTCTTGTACTCTTCTCAGCCAATCGAGCAATAAGCCCCTCCCTCCCCCTCCCTTCCTCGAGTAGACAGGTGATAAAATCTGTCGGTCAGCGAATTGATTCAGTTGCGATCCGTCAAAGACTCTTGCAACCATGTGGTATCATGTCTCTGAGGTGACTAACATCCCCTCGCTTCATCTCTCTTATCAAAAATGGGAAGCTAACAGAACTACAGCCAAATAGCTACCTGGCTATAACAGGTGTGAATATCGACACTGTCCGTATCGCGAAGAAGGCATTCGTGAAGCCGCTGCAGAAAGTTACAAAGTTCTCCATCACGCCTTTCGACTTTTCCCTGCAATTGCAGGCTATGACAATTGAGAAGTTGCAGTTCGCACTTGTATTTGCCCAGCTCCCTCTTAACTGTAGGTAATTATTAACTAACATTTTTTTTTACAGCCAGCAGTATTCACCATCGGCCCCGAAGACACTCCCGATGCTTTACAGAAATACGCTTCCCTACTCACCGGTCAAAAAGCGGGCGATACCAATACTCAATCTAACAGCAGCGGGCGCGGCCACGTCCAAGATATCGTTAAGGGCATTATCGAGGGTGAGACTAGAGTGATTGTTTCGGGGATGAGTATGGACGAGATCTTCAAGGAACGCAAGATGTTCAAGGAGAAGGTCATCGCGAACGTTCAGGGGGAATTGTCTCAGTTTGGGCTTAAGATGTTTGTTCCCCTCCAGTCGTGGTTTATGGATGGTGATGCTGATTTTTCTTTCTCTTGGAACACAGTTACAATGCCAACGTCAAGGAGCTGCATGACACCCCCGGCAGCGAGTACTTTGCCTTCCTTTCTCGTAAAGCGCATGAAGGTGCGCTCAACCAGGCCAAGATTGATGTCGCGGAGGCCCGCATGCGCGGAGAGATTGGAGAGAAGGAGAAGCAAGGTCTCACGGCTCAACATATCTCCAAGATCGAGGCGGACACCGCTATCAAGGAGACAGAGCGGAAGAAGGACAAGGCTACTGCGGAGGCTTCCTTCTCCGTCCGTCAGCAGGAGCTGAATATGGAGGTTCAGCAGGCGACAATTAAAGCTAAGCGTGCTGCGGAGGCGAGAGATGCCGAGCTTAGCAAGGATGTTGAGAAGAAGAGGGCGGAGATGGAACTGGAAAGGTTGAGGGCCATGGACGTCGTCAAGAGTGTTATCGCTAGGGAAACACAAGAGCAGAAGGCTGATGCGGCGGCGTATACTACCAAGAAGGTGATATTTCCAAAACCCGGCCTATCCGACTTGGCACTGACATTTTTTATAGACCGCCGATGCAGCAGAGTACAATGCTCAAAAAACCGCCCTTGCCTCCCAATTCGCCCAACAGCGCTCAGCGGACGCTAAGAAGTACGAGACCCAAGTCGCCTCAGACGCAAAGCTGTACCAGCAACAAAAATCCACCGACGCGGCCCAATACGAGACTCAGAAATCCGCTGATGCCCGCCAATACTCCGCTTCGAAGTCTGCTGAAGCTGAGTACCTCGCTCGCGTCAGGAAGGCTGAAGCAGACCTTATCGCAGCCGAAAAAGCTGCCCAGGCCACATTCATCACGCGCAAGCGGGAAGCCGAGGGAATGCTCGAGATGGCGAAAGCCTACCAAGCACTGTCCCAAGTAATGGGCGGCCCAGAAGGCCTGATGCAGTTCTTGATGATTGAGCGCGGCGTGTACGGCGATTTGGCGAACGCGAACGCCAAGGCAATCCAGGGTCTCCAACCTAAGATTTCTGTATGGAATACTGGCTCCGCCGGTGGAGAGGGCGCTATGGCCGATCCAACCGCGCCCTTAAGGAACATTTTCCAGGCATTGCCCCCGCTCTTCTCAACTATAAATGAACAGACGGGTATTTCGCCACCGGCCTGGATGGCGCAGATGCCCGCCAACGCCCCTTCTAACTCTGCTATCGCGTCTAGGGCTGGGAATGGGCAGGTGGTTGTTCCCAAGAAAAACTAAAAACTAAATTAGTTGAGCTGGTAGAAAAGATGGGAGTGAAGTGGGAGTGTGCTTGTGTCTGTCTTCCGTGATCTGTAATTCGATCTTTTCGCTTGTTTTTCATTCTTTTTGCTCACTTGTCCTCTCCACTTTCTCCTTTGTTTTGTTCGGTCGGGTGCGGATATCGATATTATTGCTTGTGGGCTTGCTTGGTTGGATGGGGGGGGCGGGGGGGTATGGTAGGGTAGGTTAGTTAATGTATGTGCTTCTTTCCAACTACTTGAGTGCGGTTATCGTACTTTATTTTATAACATCCGACCTTCATCGCCAAAGCGCGACACCCCACCTTTCGCGACAAATCGGTGAAGAGATGGTGAGTGCGAGATATAACTGACAGCAATAGCATATCGAAACCCTCACCCGCTCCTACTAACTATGCGCACGGCCGCAACAAGCTAGTATCATACCAGTACCTGTCGTGCTCATACGGTGCTGCCCTGCTTTTCTGCCCCCAGCCAGGTGCATACAGCACAACGTAGTACAGCACAGAGCCCATGTAGTACCGAACCGACATACCAAGCCGACATGACTAAGATGCAAACTCTCCATTTAGATACCGTGTGAGAAATCGACACTCCTTAGACGCCCTGGACAGGGAGTATTTAGTACCGCAGGCCATTCTCGGTGTCTCCTCCCTCCCTCCCTCACTTTTTTGCTATCCGTTTCCTACGCTAAAGTTAAAGCTCTGTACTGTACAGTACATATCGTGCATGTAGTGTTGTGCTCTGTAATTTTCCAATAGACCCTTTCCGGAATTGTAGGTGTTGTTTCGTCCAGGGTATATTCGCAGTTTCTAATCCACATGTTTTTCCCACGAGCGGTTCACCACCCGAGCTTTCTGCCAGGATTGTCGGGTAGGTCGCTCTGGAGGTGTTGCTCGTGCGGTCTAGATCGTGGGCAATTATGCGGGGTGGCGGTGGTACAGGCCGCCAGCGCTCTCACAGAAGGAGGAACTATTGATCGCCTGTGAAAGTCTTGCGGAGCGATCTTCGAGTGGTGGGTGGTGAAGAGGCTTTTTACCAGTACTTAAGACTGGGGTGCCTATACTCCGACGCCTTGAAAGTTCTCTGGGTGGGTGCTCTTGCATAGTCTAGAACATCGGTTGCTTAGGAAGGGAAGGCTGGGTGGATGGCAACCATGCGTGGGAATAGTAGGCTGTCGCTCTGTTCTATTTTGGAGTATTTGGCATGCATGCTGTTCCGGATGTTGAAGCAGTGTCTGCTGATGTTGATGGGTTTTTCTTCACATTGCGGAGGGAGATGGAGTGCGCTGGTAGGATTTCTCGCACAATTTCCCGGTTCGATGGCGTTTTCCATAGTGGCCGCTGATGGTATGAGGAGTTTGCGGGGGGGTTCGGAGTAGATCTGGTGCGGGTTAGCGCCCCTGGTCGTCCAGGAAACCCTTTGAAGTTGCGAAATGCCGGTTAATGGCCAGTGGGGTGATCTTTGTTGCCCCGGACGGAATTTCCAGTGCTAGGGGGAGAAATCGGGGAAGCATATCGAGAGGAAAGCATTGCCCTCTGGGCTAGGCATCCAGTTTTTCCCCTAATTTTTGTTATCTTAATTATTGGCAGGCACCAGTGCTGCTGTGATATCTCCGAGCCGCCCAGGGGTCAAGATCTGTCCAATATTGGTTTCGTCAATATCCGGCAAACCATCGCTCCGACCTTGTTATCGCAACTTGGTCATAGGGCCCGCTAGCCGGGCCCGCCGCTCCTGAAGGAATATACCTTCCCCGAAAGCCTCTGTAATGGGGTTAGAATGAATATCCCGGGCGGCGACCTGGCGCCTCCTAAGATTCATTGAATCATTGCTCGAGTGATAGGGTATGATGAAAAGAAAGGGATGTGGGATCCGCCGTTTACTACATGTGGATTGTGCTCGCGCGCAATCCACACGAATCGCCGAGGGATGGGTAATTCTCGTACGACCCACTGGTATGAATGGAGTATGCCGTCCTATAAGAACAAAGAGAGTTGGATTTGTGGCTTTTTGCAGCAGAATGAAAACTCTTTTCGGGTATTGTGTGTACAATAGGATGGAGATGGGACTACCTTGGCATCATTTGCCGGGAGGATGAGCCCGGGATTGCGCACAAGTTGCCCGGACAAAGTGGGGTTTTCCAGAAAGGCTCAAGGCGATGGCATTTCCGGACAGTATCGGTTCTGAGCATAAGCCTACCACACCCCCGCTTCGGGAGGGGCGATATATCAGCTGTTGGGCGTCGCGTCCTTCTCGTGATGAGCGCTAAAACATGGAACCTTTTGTGCAGCGCCGCATGTCCAGATAGCGTGAGATTTTCGCAGGATTTGTCTATTGGGCTTGAGCTACTTTGAATGGAGTATAGTATCAAACGATCGCAAGGTGTAATGTTGCATACCAGGAATGTCCTGTGTGATAAGTTCACTTTGCTGTCTTGATTGGTGTGATCCCCTACTGGCTGGATCCCGCCGTGCGCTATGGTGTACTCTTGGGAATGTATGATGCCCGAACAGCGTTAGGTTAATAGAGTATTTGCCCGATCGCAGTCAGCATTCCTGTGCTCAATATGGAATGGATAACCCGTACGAGGAGTAGATATATAAGAGGGTTCCCCCCCCCTTCTTGTCCATTTTTATACTACACTTTCACTCTATCCTCTCTTCACATCTCTAATTATCAATATACTCATATCTCCAAATTCTGCTCCGGCAGGTGGTACTCTACACCACTCTATTTCTTGTCCACTCCTTTCCGCTATCTCTCTTACTCCTCTCTACAACCACCCAACCTTAATTATATTTCCCTCTTTATGTTTTTACCTTCCTGAACTATCATTCTTGTATGTTTCAATCCTGTCTTCTCTTTTCTTTCCTACATCCCAATTTTTTTATCATTCAAGTCAACTGATTTATTCTCTATTATCTTTCTACTTTTGAGTTTATGATACTTCATATTCTATTTTTCCTGAGTGCGGGGCTCAAGGACAGGCTATTAGTTGCAGTATGATTTCTAATAGCTCCTTTCAGCCCTAACGCATAGCTGACTATGCCTTATGTAAGTTTCCAATTCACTACTTAATAGTACTATTATTTAACATTATAGGATATACATGATAGGATAGATATTATCAAATATATATTCTATCCTGATAGTCATGATAGAATAGATAAACTGGTAACACTTTCTGATAGAAAGTATAATAATATAATACCTACTAATATTGAATAATTACTAATACTTTTGTGTAGGTAATAAGTAATTTTCATTTAAGCTAATTACTATTACCTTAAATAAGGTATTACAGGAACCAACATCCTTCTGGTTTCTCATACAAGTATTCCCTTAGTGAAAATGGTAAGGAAAAAAAAAAAAGAGGAGGAAATAATCTTAATTAATTTAATTAATGTAGAAGTAATATATCTTAGTACAAGAAATAGTGAGGAGAATGATAATGATGAGAAAAGTATTAAGAAATATGAGAATGAGAAGAGTAAAGAGAATAAGTATTTCCTTTATCTCAGAATCAACCTTCTCCCCAACTCCATTTCTTATTTTTACCTTTTACAATCTCTGAATCAACTTTCTCCTCAACTTAATTTCTTGTTGTTACCTTTTACTATTTCTAAATCACTTCTGGTGTTTTACTTTTTTTTAATATTACTTTTGTAAACTCTTTTCAGATGATAAAATATTTCTTTTCTCTCTCTACCTCTCTCCTGTAATACTGAATATGCAATTCTAACTTTAGTATTACTTTAATTTATTATATTTTACCAATCTTCTTATTTCTTATTCTAAATATTGAAATTATGGAAAGTTTATTGATTATTATATAATTAATTTTCTCATAGAATTTACAAATATACAACTTGCCTTATCTAACTTAAATTATCTTAATACCTATTAGTAGTACTATTTGAGGTACTAAGATAGATGTATTATAATAATATGATGTATTCTATTTCATATATATTATAGTCTGCTAATTAAAGTATAATAAATAAGAAAGTAATATTTTCTGAAAAAAAGTACAAGAATATATTGAATAATCATAGCTACTAATTGCTAGCTAATTATCATAAACAATAGATAATTTTGATTTTCAACTACTTTAAGTAAAGTGGTATAGGAACTGATACCTTTCCAATTCCTGATATTTAGCCGTTATCGCTCTGTTACCCTGTTGAAGCTCGGCGGGACGCCAGAGAAAGATTTTCCCACGGTATTTAGGAGACAAGGTGAATTTACAGTCAGTATACATACCAGTCCGAGTAATATCGTCATATGCACCTACTCAAGGGTATCTAGGTGTATTTTCAAATTTGAAAGAGTACTATAGGCCTACTGAATCTTCGGCTGGCCCGGGGATGAAGGGAAACGAGAAATATGCCAACTAATTTACCATGTGTGTTCTCTCGAAAGGTTTTTGCAGCTGGTCTACATAAGTAACCTCAACATAGCAATCGGTCAGAATGTGGTAGTGTCCGCAATGGCCTCGGGGCCAGGGGGGGGAGGCTGGCAAGACCGGACGGCGTGGCGGTGCCGCGATCTGCGGACCTTCAGGCCCCCCGAATCCGGAGGACGTCAAGTTCTGGAGGGGAGTTATAGGGTCTTATGGGTAGGGCACCCCTACGTAGCCCTTCTGGCTTAAGCACTGGAGCCAATAGCAGGTTGCGCATATGTGTATAAACTTGAAGGGATTAAAGCTTTCTACCTTATAATAGATTTTGGTTTGGTGTAGTTTATTTTATCTAATTACGCCGAAGGAGATCCGTAGAACCTATCTACAAGGAGAAGGAGGTCTCTCAGATGTCTGCTGTTTAATTGACAGTATGGGCACCCCCCGGGTTTGCTCGCGGTAGCTACGACGCTGAGCTTGCAAACTTAGAGGGGCGGGGTAGGATACCATACACGGGTAGTGGGCTGGGTTTGGTAGAGTATCATACCTGCAAGAAATTGTACCACGTGTGGATGGTGCGC